GTGTGTGTGTGTGTGTGTGTGTGTGTGTGTGTGTGTGTGTGTGGTTAATTGGTGGTAAGAGTCTCATAGACTTTTCTTGCCCACACTGGCTTTGAACCATGATCCTCAAATCTCAATTTCCTAAATAGCTAGGATTACAGTTTTGAGTCTCTGGTGCCCAGCAAGTACTTTTAAAATTCTGAATAGTGGTCCCTTTTGAAACTTCTGGAAATATTTTTGTTGTCAAATCATATTTTATAATTATCCATTCAAAAGCAATAGACTCAGAATTTGAGTCACTGCAAGACAAAAATCTCACAGGAGCCATAGTTCTTTGGAGAAGCATGAAAGCAGAAGAGAAATACAGTACAATTTTATTATGATAATATCACCCATTTACAGTAGTGTAAATCCTTTAAATTTAATCCCTTGTTGCTCATTATTTGTGACCTAGAGAATTAGCATTAGCATCAATCAAGAAATTGACAGATATATAATTATTCAAGATAGTCAAAGCACTAGAGAACATTGCCAAGAAGGAAGATCTATAAGACAGAAGGGATACAGGTGGACCCATTGCAACAATGAGACGTACAAGTCCTTATGTCGAAAACGAACTTTATAACTTTGGTGTGGGGGGGGGGAAGGAGGATAGGGGGAGGGCAGGAGGAGGATGAGCTGGGAAGGGGAAACAAAGGAGGAGGCTACAATGCTTGATAAGAAATGTACTCATTATCTTGCCCATGTAATTTGTAACCCCTCTGTACAGTATTTTCACAATTAAAAAAAAAAGACAGAAGGGAATTTGTATTTTTTTTTTTTTTGGGTCCGGTCGTGGGGCCTGAACTCTGGACCTGGGCGCTGTCCCTCAGCTCTTCAGCTCAGGGCTAGTGCTCTACCACTTGAGCCACAGTACCACTTCCGGCTTTTTTCTTTTGCTTATGTGCTGCTGAGGAATCGAATCCAGGGCCTCATGCATGCAAGGCAAGCGCTCTACCACTGAGCCACCTTCCCAGCCCCGAGAATTTGTATTATATATAAAAACAATAACAAAGTATTTTTGAGACTCATACACTTGATCCTTGGATAAACTAGTTGTGTCATTAGTATTGAGGATTTTATTCATGGTGCTAGAGAGTTTCAGGGGCAAAATAGTGTAAAGCATAGCTCTATTCTTAGTGGTCATATAGTATAGATAATTTATGAGCTATAAATCATTAGCTTTATCTTATTTGAGAGCATTAAATTTAATTACTGCCTGGAACTTTGAAGAGAGAAAAATTCAGGGACAAGTTGAAAAGGCACTGAAACTGTTCATGTCCAAGCCAAATTAGTAAATTATAAGGTGTGGAACCTAGTGTCTGGAACTCTTTAGAATTCAGAAGGGATATATGTTTTAATTTTATGATATATTAGCGAATTTTGGCCTGCTGTGATGTTTAGGGAGGAGGGGGATTTTTTTCACTTATGCACATGTATATGAAAACTTTGTATGGCACAATACAAAACTTTTAAACAATTTGTTGGGTCTTTCTCTCTCTCTTGTGTATATGTCTCTGTTTTTATGATCAATATTCATTTTTGTTGTTGTTGTTGGTCATGGGGCTTGAGCTCAGGGCCTGGATGCTGTCCCTGAGCTCTTTCACTCAAAGCCACAGCTTCACTTAAAGTTTTCTGGTGGTTAATTGAAGATAAGAGTCTCAAGCCTGTAATCCTAGCCACTCACAAGGCTGAGATCTGAGGATCAAGGTTCAAAGCCAGCCCAGGCAGGAAACTCCATGAGACTCTTATCTCCAATAAACTACTTAGAAAACCCAAAGTGGTGCTGTGGCTCAAGTGGCAGAGCGCTCGCCTTGAGCTGAAGAGCTGATAGTGTCCAAGCCCAGAGTTCAAGCCCCCATGACTGACAAAAAAAAAGTTTCATAGACTTTCCTGCCCTGTCTGGCTTTGAACCTCCATCTCAGATTGCAGTAGCTAGGATTATAGGCATTAGTAGCTGGGATTATAGTCATGAGTCACCAGTGACTGGCCATTCATTGTTAAGTTCTCCCAAACAAACCAGCCTTGGGTTTGGGGGTCTGGGCCTTTACAAGGAGCAGTGGGTCTGAGGGGAGAGGGGGCTTTGTCCTGTGTTGGGTCTGGATTGGCAGAAGAGCTGCCTTTGTTCAAGGCAGGTTTTATGAGGAGAGTAGAAGAGGTCTCATGTCTTCTAAGAATCATGTCTTCTAAGAATGTGAAAGGAAGCTGAGGCAAAAGGGCACAAACCTAGAGAAAAATAGTGACAGAGGAATGCTAGTAAGGTAGACAAGACCAGCATGGTTCAGTCCCTGAGCCTGAAGAAGGTATGAGGGAGGCTCTTAGGTTTCCCCTTCCGGTTTCTGGAGAATGAGTAGGAAAAGAGAGGCTTTGTTTCATCAGACGTGAATTCCAGCCTCTTTAGCTCATGTAGGTGAGCTAAAGCAGCAGCAGTGGACGGCCCACAGTCAGTAAAATGGTGATGCTGAAGGCTCATGGCAAGATATACTTGTGGATGACATACAAGCTAGTGACAAATGGCAAAAGAGTCAGCCAGGTGGTGTAGTAGGTAAGGATAACAAGGTTTCCAGCAAGCAGGCTTAGTCTTACCACCTGGTCTGTCCCTGTGGCCTGTAGAAAAGAGAGGGTTCCTCTGTGGAAGTGCTTCATTAGGGTGCACTAATGGAACTGGGCATTATAGCCAGTTTTCTGTCCAAGCTTTCTAGTCTTTCAGCATCTTTAAATAGGGCTGACTATATACCCTTAGTGTTTTCACCTGGAAATGGGCCACCAGGAGAACAATCTTGATTCTGAGTGTGGGAGCCCCAGCTCCTGAGCAGGCTTCCTGTCACTCCTACACCCACTTACTACCTATTACTGGGTTCATATGAGAGAGAAGAGCAATGGGAATAGAGTAGAGCAGGGTGAGTTTGTTCAGTGTGGATGTATAGAAGCATTATAATAAAACTTGCCTCATATTACTCAAAAATACATTATCTCCAAAATAAAATAATAATTGTATTAAAAAGGGGGTAAAGCTGAGCACTGGT